TGTGTGTGTGTGTGTGTGTGTGTGTGTGGGTGTGTGTGTGGAGGGGAGGATCCTCTAACTCTTAAAGCCGGGTCAGAACGACAGATATCAGCAGAGCTGAGAAGGAGAGGCACTGAGGAGGAAACACACACACAGACACACACACACACAAAGACAAGAGGCTTATTGTATCCACACACACACACACACACACACACACACACACGCACACACTTAGTTGCTGGTCACTCACAGACACACTCTTCATTGGACTCTGGACTGACCACTTGAGGATACATCCCTCAGGACTCCATTTCCCATCATGCACGAGTGGAGCATCTCAGAGCTCCAGGGCGTCTCCACCCAGCAGGGGGTCTCCACCCGACGGACTACCCAGGACGGAGCTTCCAGGAGCTCCAGGTGGAGGAGGGGGGCCGTGCTCTGCGGCGTCTGCCCATCGGGGGCGGCTCCTGTCTGGGCATGGTGGCTGGTGCTGAGTGCCCTGGTGGTTCCTGGAGTCTGGAGCTTTCTCAGCGAGGAGCAGGAGGAGCTGCTGGTGGAGCTTCACAACCACTACAGAGGACTGGTGTCCCCCAGCGCCTCCGCCATGATGCCTCTGGTAAGACACCCGCAGAGACACAGGCCGCGTCAGGGTCAAACAACGTGAACCAGAGCAGAGGGACATTAACACTTTCATCTCCGCCCACGGCTTCAGAAATACACACATGTACATCATTTCATACTTCACGAAGTTCTTCACTAATGAGCGACAGAGAAACATCACAGACATTCTGTTCAAAGAGGCGTTAACCTGCTCCATCCCTCCATCATCCCTCCATCATCCCTCCATCCACGAGGGTCACATGAGCTGACGTAGACTCCAGGTTCAGAAAGTGAAGCCAATGCATTAGTGTCTGAAAGCTGTCTTCTGTGTACTGACCAGCAGGGGGCGTCTCCTCTGGTAGTTTCTATAGAAAACGTCAGTAAACTTTGTCCTCAGGAGTTTTTGTCTCAGTCTCAAGTCGTCTTCAAACAGCTGATGCTCGTTTATTAATTAAAACCATTTAGAGTCAAACAGACCAGACAGCAGTGGGTGTGTTGGGGGTGGAGACCACAGTGTGATTGACAGCTGGTACCGTCCAATGGGTGCAGGTGTAGGTGTTCACATTCACACCTACAGGACATCACACCGCCGGTCTGTCTCTTGGAGAAACAAGATTCTGATTTACATTTTCCTCTCGTCCACACTGACACGTGTTAACATTTAAAACACTTCCCTCTGCTACATGGACGCTCGGTGTCCACACACAGTTTTCATGAGCTGTGAGTTGAGTGAACGGTCGGAGGTTTGATTCCCAGAGAAGAATCCACACGTCACACACTTGTCATTCCGCTCAGCTGCTGTGGAGCTTCGCTAATCGAAGTCAGCTGCTGCCATTGAGTTCATCGTACGAGGCTCTGAAACCTCCGCAGGTCACACTGGAAACATCTGGACCCGTCCAACTTTATCAAACCGAACCTGAGGAGACAAACAGATCATTCAACGACGTGGACACATTAAGAAAAGAGTTTAAACCTAAAAATACAAAACAGTAACTGTTCTAATGATGCTGTTACAGGAACCGTGTCTCTGCTGGTTGAAGCGAGACGTCCTTCTCTCGTCTCAACTGTCTCACGTCTTCACATTATCACAATATATCACTTCTAACTCTGAGCGCTAATATTAAAATAATAATATAATATTATTTTACCAGGAGTACCATGTGATTGTACAATATTTATAAATTCAAAATGAACTAATTGGACGAACGATCAGTTCGGTCAAACTGTGGCAATAATTCGCTGCACGTCACAAACATTCATACACACTGGTCTTCATTTATACAGGTACCCCCCCCCCCCCCCCCCCCCATCAGGGGTAAATGGAACATCCCACCTGAGACCAAACCAAGTCACTCAAGATTCATAAAGAGGCAGCAGTATTACAATAAGACAGTTTCATTAATAGTTCAAATCTCTTAAAGAGATCATCGTATCGGCTTCACACGTGTCGTGCGTGTTGTTCAGGCTCTGATGACGTGTTGTGTTGAGTTTGGTTTGATTCGGACACGTGATGCGCTCGATGTCAACATTTGAATAAACAGACGAGCAGCCGACGAACGGTCGAAAGAGTTCTGGTTCTGTGGGCGGAGTCCAGCAGCCGCTCGTTACGCACCAATTACAAAACATGTTCTTTGTCGTCCCCGAAGGGAAAATGTCTCTTGGGTCAGAACCACGAAGCGAACCAGAGAATAAGTAAATAACTATGCTGCAGAACGAAACTTCAAATTCTGTAAACGTCGGTTTCAGAGAGAAAACAGAAGCTTCCAGAGACGGGTTCAGATAAACTGAGAGGAGCCAGGGAGCTGAGCTGTGGGTAGGGGGCGCTGTCCTCCACCCTCTGTCTGAGGGGAAACTCCGGCTCCAGTTTAACGTCGGGTTCCAAATTTAAATTCTATCATGTGGAAAATAAAATCACAGAGGATTTATCAACAAGACAGAAACAATGAGAGATGATTTTACACCAACGTCATATTTTTCCCTGTGATGTCTCATCATTGTCCACAATTTATTTTAATTGTCTCCAGCTGTGAGTCGCTCCTTCATCTCTGTCTTGCATTGCATTGTGGGATCACAGTGTCCCTCAACAGCAGAGTCAGAAGTAACGTGAACTTAAACAGATTTTACTTTTATTCATCTAAAGATTCCTGGTGTGTACGTGACCGAGCAGAACGAGAGAACAGAAACTATCCGAGTAACGAGCATCGTGTTTTTACTTCTCACTCTTTTTCTTCTCAGAACTCAAACACGTCGTTTGCTGGATTTGTCTCAAACTTGACTTCATCTTGTTTTAATTATCTTTGTTTGTATCTGAGTCCGTTGTTTTCATGATCTCCACTCGACTACTGGACAGTTTCCTTGTCCTTTATTTCATTTCTCATGTTCTTACTGAATCTAGTTAAAGTCTCTGAGAGCTTTGAATTTGTTCTTGTTGGGATTTAAGTGACGTCTTTGGTCATTTTTTTTATTGCAGAGATTTTACAAACCAGCTCAGCTGTCACCACTTACAGTCAAATTTTTTTAGGAATCAAATAAAGTTGTTTTCTGACATGAAATCTGGAGGAAGTCCGTCCAGACTTTCTCTGGAGTTAAAGAGATTCATCAATAACAACACAGACATCTCTGGAGCGCTCAGGCGAGGGGTGGAGAGGCGGGACACGTGTTCCCTTATCTTCGTCTTCTACGGCTCCTCTTCTTCATCCTGAGACATTTGTGTTCTTCCAGTTTTGCGTCACGTGTTAACGTGTTATGAAACCTCATCGACACGTCCCAACATGCTGTGTTCTCATACTTTTCTACAACAGGAGGAAGTGGACATGTGGCGTCCGTCTGTATTGACTCAAGCAGGTTTCTCTCGTCCTGTTGTCACGATCTTGTGGACGTTTGTTGGGACGATGCAGAACTTTGGTTGAACAGCCGAGATGATGAATATCGTTCAGGACGTTGAATCTCACTCGTACGAGCATCAAGATTCTGATCTCGCCTTTTTACAAGACGGCATAGAAACGCTGAGTAAACCGAGGCCTGCGTTCCAGGAACAGACGGGTGTTTCCTTCCTCCGACTCCATCCAGTTAATAACGTGAGTGTTAGAGGAGGAATGCAGCAGGGAGATCATCCTCAAGACAGACGGGGAGGGGAGTCGGCCTCAGGGTTGAGCAACAGAGGAGGTTGAGAAAGAGACGATGTTTAGAGAGAGAGAGAAATGAAAACGAGGGTGTGTGTGTGTGTGTGTGTGTGTGTGTGTGTGTGTGTGTGTGGACAGGTCTCAGCCTGTATCCACCGTATGGACGCCCCACTGGGACATTTCCATATTCGTGTTATTCTTTCTCCCTTAAAGTTTATTGTAGAGAAAGACAGAGAGAGGGACGGAGGGAGGGAAAGGGAGGAAGGAAACAGGTGAGGGAAGGAAGACTAGAAGGAGACAAGGGATGGAGAAAAAGAATGTGCCAAGGAAAGGAGAGAGGAAAGGAGAGAAGACGAGGAGAAAGGAAAAGAGAAAGAAAAAGTGAGACATGAACTCTGTGAACGAGTGTCTGGTGCAGACGACAGATTCCTGTTTGTGTTGGAACGAACATTATGTGTAAAGTTAAATTATCAGTTTCCCAACGTTTGTTACGAGGAGCGAAATGTGAAATCTGGATCAGAGACTGTGAAGGAGCTGAAATCTTCCAGCTGACGTTCAGACTGAAGACGAACAAGAGAAGAATGTGAATCCACCCAGCAGGAGACACAGTAATACTGTAATACTGTAATACTGTTCAACTGAAATACTCTGAAACTGTGATACTGAACTCAGATCAAATGCTTGTTCTCTCTCATGTGATCATGAAACTCAGATAAAAACGTCCTGGACTCAAACCCACGAGTCCTGCAGCTCATACGACCCACGTCTGTCGTGCCAAAGATCAGAATCAGGAAAATAAAGCATCTGGTTTGAGTCTCCACCGACAAAACTCTCCAATAACCTCAAATAATAAATAATAAACTCAACTACAGACGTGATTCATTCCAATAAAACATCCAGTCGGTTTCTACTGAAGGTTCAAATAATGATGAATAAATCAGTCCAATGAATAAGTGTGATGGACCACATGCTCCCAAACGTGTCGCCCCCTGGTGTCTGGCTGCAGTATAGATCAGAAACCCTCCTCCTCCATGTTAGCAGATGGGACATGAACTAAATATGATGAAGATGTTTCAGTGGTTTCAGCTCGTCCTCCTCTCTCCGATGTTTGTTCAAGTGTTTCTCATCAGTTCGGTTTAATCAGTTATGTGAGGATGTGAAAACAGGGCGGAGACGTCATGATTGACACCTGACACTGGCTCCTGATTGGTTGAGAGCGTGTACTGATGTGACACAGGAGTGGCAGCGTTTGGATCTGAGAGATTCACGTCAGGATATTGGGAGGAAGTGGAGACGCGTCGTCCATCTTTATTTACAGTCACAGTTGTTCATCGACGGAAACGTTTGTTCTATATCTTAAACTGACGTGTGAAGAGGAAATCAATCCATAGATTCAGTTCAAGTTCACAGACCACATGACCTGTGTGTGTGTGTGTGTGTGTGTGTGTGCGTGTGTGTGTGTGTGTGTGCGTGCGTGCGTGCGTGTGTATGTGTGTTACTGCACGACCCGAGAGTCATAACACAGACCAGATGTTGAGACGAGATGTTGAGAGGAATGTGAAGGAGACCCCTGACTATTGTTTTTGTTGTGTGTCACCATCGAACAATGAACACACACACACACACACACACACACACACACACACACACACACACACACACACACACACACGCTGGGATATTAAACTCTTTCAGTATCTTAGCAACAGAGACTCAAAGCTCCGGACTGAACAACCAGCTCCTCCTCCTCCGCTCTCCGTTCTGCTGAAGCACAAATGTTTCACATTCTCGTTTTGTAAATTGAATGAAGTGATTGAATGAGTTAAGTGGCGTCTTGTGTCCTTTGGGGAATTCTTCATAAAGAAACATCAGCAAAACACATCTCACAAAAACCCTCCACAGAATTTTGATCAATCTTTCAGTTATTATATTTTTTCCCACATGAAATTAAACTGAATCTAAAACTAGTGACAGCATCTGTAGATCTGTCTGTTGTTGGTAATAACTGCAGGAACTGTCCGACGTTGAATAATCGTCTGAACGTGGTTTTTAAATTGAAGCTGTGACGGACGAGGACGGAGAGAAAGATGTTTCTACACAAACGGAGGAAATATGATGCTGTGAAAATGTTTGTCACAGGTTTTTCAGTTTTTTGAGGAAACAGGAAACAACTCGTGATGGGGGGGGGGGGTAAACTGTACCTCAGACAGGGTCAGGCTGAGGTCAGAGGTCAGAGGTCAGGTGGGTGATGAGGACGTTTCATCAAGGAAACAAAAGCTCAGAGAAAAGGATCTGATTTAGAAGCAGCTGATTTTATCTGTGAATGAAGCAAACGAGAGAAAAAGGAGAAATAAATGATAGAAAACAAACCGAAGCTTCAAAGTTTGACTTCAGTAACTTAACGATGGAGATTATCCGACACATCAGCCTCGACACGAAGGATCAGAGGTCAGCTCAGATGATTCCTGAAGAAACAGACTCATGCTCATCATCTGGAAACGTCTGCAGATTGGTTTGAAGTGAGTCTGAGGAGAAGCTCTTCGGTCTGACAGAGCTGCTGCTGCTCGACTCAGCGTCACAGACGTTCTGAAACATTCTGGGTTTCTCCTCAGAAATGGGACCCGAGTCTGAAGCTGATCGCAGAGGGCTACGCCACTAAGTGTGTCTGGAACCACAACCCGGAGCTGGAGGACACCGGAGAGAATCTGTTTGCCGGCACCGGGCCCCTGGACCTCCGGGAGGCCCTGGAGAAATGGTTCCTGGGTGAGTTGGATCGTCAGCTCTAGAGGAAGTAATCCAAACTTGAACAGTATGTTCAGCAGCTGACACAGACACGACAGCGTCACACGAGTCAAAGTGAAATAAAAGGGTTTGATTCCATTCAGCTGCTTCAGTTGCATCGTGGGAATCGAACAAAACACCTTCATTACGTTCGTGTTCTTACTTGTGTCGTCAGTGAAACTTATATAAATGAAGTTTGCTCCATTCACCTGATACATTTACACATCATGTCAATGCTTCAGTAATATACACTGTGTGAGTACTTTTACTTTTGATACTTTAAGCACATTGTACTTCTTGTTGCTAAAGTTTAACTTGAAATGAAGTAATGAAATATTTTTATCTGACTCGTGTAGAACATCATGACTACAACTTTCACAACAACAGCTGTGACGAGGACAAGATGTGTGGACACTACACACAGGTCAGACACACACACACACACACACACACACACACACACAGGTCACACACACACACACACACACACACACACACACACACAGGTCAGACACACACACACACACACACACACGGGGAAGTTCTTTCTGCAGATTATGACGCAAATTGAAATCCAGGTAATCCACTTCAGAGATAGACGTTTGTGTGTGTTTGTGTGTGCGTGTGTGTGTGTGTGTGTGTGTGTGTGTGTGTGTGTGTGTGTGTGTGTGTGTGTGTTACAGATGGTGTGGGCGGACACACACAGAGTCGGCTGTGCCTTTCACCTCTGTAACAATATGGAGGGTCTGCAGTGGGAGAGAGTCTCCTACCTCGTCTGCAACTACTTCCCAGCGTCAGTACTACTACTTACTACTACTACAATTAATAATACTACTGTAACAGTACTTTTACAGTGACCACAAGTACCACAACTAGTAGTAGTGATGTCACCAATCAATCAATCTACTACTAAAACTGAACTACTACATTATTACTGCAACATCTACCACCAACAAAGTATTAAATCAAATTCCATTAATACAACTAAAATGAGTACTACCTCTACTGCTACTACGACTATCATTATACTACTAAAACAACTATTACTGCCACCACAACAAGCACTGCTGGTACTATTACTAGTACTGCAACTACTTGTTGGTGTAAACTACTTGAGGTACTACCCCCTGTAAGTGCTCCTGTAGATCTTCTATGTTAATGTGAAAAATAATCATCAGCTGCAGTTTAAATAATTATTTGTATATTTGTATTACACCACTAATACAACAAGTTACTGCTACTATTTCTACCTACTACTACTACTATCTGTACTACTGACAAACACAGGCTCCCTCTGGTGGACAGTCATATTCATCTTTGTGTGTATGAACAGTCATAATGAGTCATGACCTTTGACCTCTGCGTCCTCAGAGGAAACTATGAAGGCGAGCGGCCGTACGTCGAAGGTGACTGGTGCTCGAGATGTCCTGAGAACCTGCAGCAGTGTGAAAACAACCTGTGTGGTGCGTCTCTCTCTCTATCTATCTCTCTCTCTCTCTCTCTTCATCTCTCTCTCTCTTCATCTCTCTCTCTCCATCTCTCTCTCTTTTCATCTCTCTCGTCATCTCTCTCTCTCTCTCTCCATCTCTCTCCCTCTCTCTTCATCTCTCTCTCCATCTATCCGTCATCATCATCATCAGTAATAAGCCTGTTGTTTATTCAGCTGATTGATAAGTTAATCAAGTTAAATAAGTTAAATAAGTTGATCAAGTTAAATAAGTTGATCAAGTTAAATAAGTTGATCAAGTTAAATAAGTTGATCAAGTTAAATAAGTTGAACAAGTTAAATAAGTTGATCAAGTTAAATAAGTTAATCAAGTTAAATAAGTTAATCAAGTTAAATGCTGAACGTGCTTTAAAGTTTTCTTTCCGTTTCGTATCTTTATGTTTCGTGACGTCTTCGTGTTTCTTCCTAAAGTTAGATGTTGAATTCTTGTTCCTGATGTTCGGCTGCAGCTCTGAGTAAAAGTCTCCTGCTGTGTTTTCTAGTGGACGACTTTGAGGAGGAGGATGGTACCGACTGGGCGACGCTCGCTCCTCATCTGGTGACCTCAGACCCCGCCCTTCATCATGAGGAGCAGGGGGATAAGGAGGAGGAGGAGGAGGAGAAGATTGTTCCTCCTCCTCCTCCTGCAACAACTGAAGTCGAGCCTTCCACCACCTTCATCCCCATATTGATCTCTGAGGACACCCCGCCCCCAGTCACTACCCCTCCAAACATCTACTCAACTGGACTGGGAGAGGAGGAGAGGGGGGATAGAGTGTTGGAGGAGGAGGAGGAGGAGGAGGAGGAGGGGAAGAAGGAAGAGGAGAGGGAGGATGAAATGTTGGAGGAGGAGGTGAAGAAGGAGGAGGAGAGGGAGGATCCAGTGTTGGGGGAGGAGATGAAGAAGGAGGAGGAGGTGAAGGAGGAGGAGGTGACGGAGGAGGAGGTGAAGGAGGAGGAGGTGAAGGAGGAGGAGGTGAAGGAGGAGGAGGTGAAGGAGGAGGAGGTGAAGGAGGAGGAGGTGAAGGAGGAGGAGGAGAGGAAGGATACTCTGGACAAGACGGACAGAGAAAGAGAAATAGAAGAAGCACGGAAAAGACACCAGATCCCGAAAGTAAGACCGAATTCTGGATCAGTATCATCACCTTCTCTCCTGTTAGCGTCTCTGACTGGGATCCTGAGTCTGAGGCTGTGAGGAGGAGGAGGAGGAGGAGGAGGAGGAGGAGATAACCTCACCTTACACTTGCATTGACTTGTTAACCTGAACCTGTGGTAACAGAGTGAAATGGGTCAAATTAATAATTCACACTCATCAGGACGAACAGCTGCCGTTTTCATAACATCTGCATGCGTCTGGTCTGACATCTGGATCAGACCACACGTTCATAACCTGAATCTGAAATCCAGAAACGTTACTGACGACTTTTTAAATACGTTGTTTTCAGGTTGACGAAACAAATTTGACAATTTCTTACTCACAAACGTTTGAAATGTCTCGTGGACGCTGGTTCAGAGTCGGTGGATCGTTTATCTTCAGGGTGAAAGTGGCGTCGCTGTGTCTCAGCTCATGAAACTTTGAATAACCAGGAAACAGAGTGTGAGACGTGTTTTTTGTGTTTTTAGTTTTTAGTGAATGCAGGAGAGATGATTGTTAAAAGGTCAAACTGACGACCCTGCTTCTTCTTGATATATATCGACTGTACGACTTATACTCGCTCAGAACCACAACTGGACACAGTCGCTAATGATTTACAGATCTGTGTCCTAGTCGGCAGGAAATCACCATAACTATCAATTACTAGATATAGGAAGTCTGTAAATGTCTGTATATAAGATTAATAATGAAATAAACCGTATTTCTTCTTTTTGACACTTCGCTGTATGTGGCTCTTTCTTCTCACCAGATCTTGAAAAACTTTATTGACACGACTGTTCTCTCTGTGACAGCAGGTTCATTATCTTAAGGGTCAATTAACAGGTTCAATGTTTTCTAAAGTCAGAAATCTGGTCTTTTAAATAGAATTTAATGAATTCTTTTATTTTTCTGTCCAGATG